GAGAGACAAGAAAGGCGAGGCTCACCAAGCCATTTATCTCTCTGCCCTTCAGTCAATCCCACCTGCGTTTATCAGCCAGGCTGGCACAATAAACTATCTCAATATAGATTAGGATATTAGTTAGTTGTATGACTTTTGCCATTAGAAGAACTGCAGTTTTAGATTTAGCAGCTAGAAGAATTACCATATATACTCTAGTATAAGCTGAGCTTTTCAGCACAATTTTAATGCAGTTTTTGTGGTAAAATTAGATGCCTTGACTGATATTCGGGTCAGCTTATACTTGAATATATACGGTGTCTGTATTTCATTTCAAAGATAACTACTTGCATAATAATAATTGAAGTTTAGCAATGTGTAAAGTATATAGGATGACAATTAGTCAGAAATGTCTCATCAGCACCTAAAAACAACAGTAAACTTTGTACAGGATATATCTGATTAGGAAGGAGCTCTCTGAGAAATAACACAGAGACAATGTGAAGAGTATTTTTAACAGATAGGAAAAAATACATTGATGTGTATGGAAAAGAAGAACAATGTGACTTTTATACAGTCTCATTTAATTCTTATAACATGAAAAGACTACGATTCACTGATACACACTATTAGCCAAGATTCTCAAGTGGCAAATTTGGTGTCATGTCTGGCTGGCTGGCTTCAAAGCACAAGTCCGTTTATTTTTTATTTTTTGTTACCACGTAGAATGGAATCAAAGGGAAAGACTAAAAATAAAAATCTATTTGTTCTACCTTACAAACTATGTTCTATGCTTGTCTACAACATGGCACATGTACCAATCATCCATCTCCTCACTTACTCCTTCTCATTGTCTCACTAGTATCTGTCCACTCAGATTTAGGAAACTTCAGGTAGATTGAGGATAGAGATCAGGAGGCTGAATAAACACTGAAAGTTAGTAAATGGTGAATGAGCTTTTTAACAACTTCCTTGTACCCCTCCTTTCTCATTCCCAAAAGGTAAGAGTGGCTTACAAATGCAAGACTCCTCTAACATGTTCCCGCTCAAGCGTTTACTGCGAGAATGGCGGAAATCCATCTTTGCCTTTAATATTCCCATATAGAAATCTGTTTCCAGTGAATGGAGATTTGTGCAGACACAGGCATAATGTGCATCTTAAATTCTGGATCAGTTCCTGCTCATGAATTTGAGAAGAACCCCATTAGAAAACCTTTGGAAAGAAAATGAGACCCAGCCCTCGGGAATGGAAGGGTGGGAAGAATCAAGGGGGAAAATCTGCTTTATCTGTATTGTTTGGTTTTGTATGAAGAGAATGTGCGTGTGTGTAGTTATACATCCATATCTATTTGTGTGTGTGTGTGTGTGTGTGTGTTTAAGTATGCTTGCTTCACATGCATGTGAAAGCTAAGCAGGGACTAAGGAAGACCGAAGATGAGTGTATGCATTTGAATTATGGAACGGGTGAAGAACAGCCACCGTACCATGAACTACCAAAAGGACAAACCAACCTCTCTTGGAAGAAGTACAGGCAGAATGCTCCTTAGATGCAAAGCTGGTGAGACTTAGTCTCATGTCCTTTGGACAGGGACTCAGAAGACAGCAGTTCCAGGAGAAGGATGTCATGCTTGTTAATGTAGAGGGTCAGTGCAAAAGAGGAAGGCCCTAGACAAGATGGATCGACACAGAGGCTGTAATGATGGGCTCAAACATCAAACTGTAAGGATGCACAGGAGTGGGCAGTGTATTGCTCTATGATGCACAGGGTCGCTATGAGTCGGAACACCTAACACCACCAACAACAATAACAACTGTAAGAATGGTGTGGGGGCATGTTTCACATGTGCCTTCATGGGGGGTGGGGGTGGGGGGGAAGAATCACAGTTAGTCTCTGCCCAAGCCTGATTCTCATGAGACGAGGTGAGAGATGCTTCTGCCCTACCTCCTTCTTGATCATATTCTGACATCAAGAGTCACTGCCATGGCATTCTATTTCCTTGCTGGGTTCAAACCCATTGCAATGTCTACAAAAAACTTCACAGACAAAACTCAAGATGATAGGGTTTATGAGGCAAGTTAAGGGGTCAGCACAAGTCAGAATCAGAAATGTTCAGAACACAGTTCTGGTCAGGACAGCCTCTTCTCAGCCTGGGGTAGTTTCATAGTTTCATGTCAACTTGATAAATAAAGTGATGGGTGGAGTTTTGCTTGTCAATCAGGTCACATCCTGATGATGCCTCTTAGTGGCCAAGGCCTTCTCATGAGGATTCTGGAAATTTCCTCTCTTTCCCTTGGAGGCGGGGCACACACTTTCTCTGCTTCACCTTCCTGTTGGCTAGCCATGTGGAGTCATGCTGAGACCAGAGCAAGCCATGTGGCGGAGGCCTGCACCAGCACTGAGATCTTTCCATCAGCATTGGTCTGTGTTCTTCCTGTATTTGGCATCATTGCATGGGCTGCATGAGTCTGAAGAGTGATTGACCGACTAGTATCAGACGTATAGGCTAATATCAGCCTGATGGACTTGATCTGGACTGGACTGAGATCTTTTGTCAATATAAAATTGTTCTTTGAGATAAAGCTCCTCTTATACACATGAGTGTCTCTGGATTTGTTTCTGTAGTCCACTGGGTCTAATACACAGCCATTTCTGCAGTCATGTCTCTCACTAGCCCATTCACTCAGCCTTTACCCTCTGCCTGCTCAAACAGTGTTCTAGAGCTCTTTTAGTGCTATAGATGAATGCCCCAAAGGGCATACCACTCCCCCATAAACCTCAGCCCACAGGCTCTCAGCTGTAGCTCTGTGGATCAGCAAACCTAGCTCCCCAATGAAATGCCAGGAGGCACCTCACTCTGTAAGTGAGCACCCCTGCCCTAATGTAATCCACTTTATTTGATCCTTGGTTAGGGAAGCTGCCTCCCACCACTTCTCTGATGTTACAGCTTTCTGTTACTGGGCAGGGATCTAAGGGTCCAAAGGTCTAGTCCTGACTCCTGTCTTTTGATGACAGTAAGATTCTTTCCTTCCCCCTCCTGCTTCTGATATGGTTCCTTTTATACCTAGCAGGATCACAAAACTGACCAATATCCTGTCAGAGTTCAACATTTTTACAATCACAATGAACTCCATTAATGATCATCCAAAATGGATTCTTATAATCTTATCAACATCTTCCTCACGTCCTTTCAACTAGACCCACCAGGAATGAAAAAATACACTCAATTTGCATGGTTCCATCCAATCATTTGGTAGAAAATACAGACGATGGTCAGAAGGGTCATGTCAAGTAAGTCAGTGCACCATATTTACTTATAAAATAACAAATGTCGTGATCAATTCACACACACAAGAAAACTAGGGAACTAAGTATACAGAATGAAATGTATTATAAATGTATTATAAAATTCACGAGTTTTACATTTTAAAGTTTCTGATATGATCATTGTTAAGTACAGTTGAGGCTGACATGTTATACACACAAACAGTACACTTAACATTTGGAAACATTGTCAGGTCCGGTGCCATCCTTCCAACTCTCGCCCATTGTTATAACTTATGTATCAATTAATGTCATTGTAGGGCTTCATCTTATTTTGGGAGGTATTTGAAAATAGCTTTAAAATAAGATAGATCTAGTCTTCTAATTACTAAATCCCATCTAATTAGTGAGTACTTTATCCTTTGTTTAAGAAACCCTACTGCTGCTGTTGGATGAGCACTGGACTGCTAATCACAAGGTTGGTGGTTCAAACCCACCTGGCATACTATGGAAGAATGATGAGACTATGTGATCCTGTACAAATTTACAGCCTTGTAATTACCAAATAGGAACCTCTATTTGGGTGACTATGAGTTGGAATCAACAGGATGGTGGTGGATTTTTTGGTTTGTTTTCATCTTTAAAAAAAATGTGTGCATATAATAAAACCTTTAAAAAGTCAGGTAAATCTATAACTTAAAATAATCAACATAGTATGGTATGGGTAATTTAAAGTGCCACCACTTTCACGTGCTTTATTATAACAGTAATTTAAGAGAGTATACATATTCTAAGATCATCATGTATTCAGAATTTCTTGGAGATCCCGGTTTATAATATTCTGTCTCTATGACTCTCCGAATCACTGCTGAGATTCAGAATTCCTCACCTGGTGTTATATTGTGAAGCGCGTGATGTTACCATCGGTCAAAATTGCCTTGATGCCACTGGCTTACTGTCTCTTCTTCAAGCCTAAGCAAATCCAACTGCCTTCTTCCTCTTCTCGTTTGTATAGACACATTACAATCTCTTTCTGCGGTTATTGGTCATTTGAATAGTGCGATGGTTTGGACATGCATTTCTTTTAAACAAAATACTTAACAACCATATGCTTGGGCTAGCTTCTCTGGCAGAGTTTTAGGAAAGAACTCTCAGAACCCAGATGGTATCTCTTATCTCACTTAATGAAAAAGGTAGGTTTATACACACGTCCCAGGCATCTTCTTATGTGGTGAGTGTGGATGTACATGGACATTTGTTTCTGGTATTGCAGGTAGCTGGAATAAAGATGGGGTGTGCCACAAACAGATGGCATCTATGAGGTGTGATTACCGATGCTGACGTAGTCATTTGTAATTGGATGTGCAGAGTAAAGGGGAGTTCACGGGAGGACTGGGATGGTGAGAGCGAACAATAAAATGATGTCGACAAGGCCTTTAAGCCATAGTGACAAGCGGAAAGTGTTTCACCAGTGACCCAGAACACCGTGTTTTGCTTTCAGATGCGAATTGGACTGCATTCAGGATCGGTGTTTGCTGGAGTTGTGGGAGTTAAAATGCCTCGCTACTGTCTCTTCGGAAACAATGTCACCCTGGCAAATAAATTTGAGTCGTGCAGTATCCCGAGGAAGATCAATGTCAGTCCAACTACTTACAGGTACTGGTCGCATTGAGCACCTGAAATCTATCCTTCTCCTTTATTTATAATGGCCACTTTTCCCTATTGGTTTGTTTCATTCTCCATCGTGTGGGATCTTGCTGAGACATTTTTCAAAGAAAGGAAAAGGCCAGGACTTTCATTGCCCTCATTGGAACATGTTTAAAGCCTTTATAAACCTCTTTTTAACGACTCATTAATCGCATGCAAACATGTGATGGGCATGCGTAATCCTTGGCAGACATCATATCTTCTTCTTGATTCCTCTGCTAAAAGCACGCATTACTGTTCTCCCTAATCCAACAGAAGGCTGACTGGAGGAAAGCTAGAGAAAGCATTCTGCCAAGATCACAAGTGTTGTGGGCTGTCAACAAATGGTAACACAGGACAAGCAGGGCCATGTACCGATTACCATCAGGAAAACCTCTGTGTTAGCCATCGCCTTGAAAACAGGCAGCAGGCAGCCCGAGCCAATAAACTCTGCTGCTTTAGTATCACTTTCTTCAGCCAGAAAACAATCCAGTGCAAGAGGAGTAAAAATATATCTGCTGTACAAATTATATCCCGTTTCAAAAGTCCAATTTTAATGAAAACCCTTCAAGGACAAATAGGTTTGTGAGATCCATATTCTGGAAATTACTGTGCGCATTGCCCTTCTTATTCTCAGCTACAAAGAAAACTGTGTTACAGCATCTTAAAGCCCCAACAACCTTTCTCTCCAAACCCCTCATTGGCAACATCAATTTATATTTCACAATGAAAGTATTAGATAAAGAATTAGATAAAAGTGCTGGAGTCCCACTCATGCCACAGATTCTCTCAACCGAGTGACCTTGTCTTGTAGGAGTGGCTGAGTGACACAGGTATGGGCTCTAATGCTACCTAAAAGTTGACAGTTTGAGTCTCCCCTGAAGCATCTTGGAAGAAAGAGCTTGTAAACTACTTCCCACAAGTCCCAAACTAAATGAAGCCCATTTCCATTAAACTCCAATCTGGCTCTTAGTGACCCAGGAAGACAATGCAGACCTGCCCCCAGAGGGTTGCTGGAGCTGTAAGTCTTTACAAATGGAGCATTTCAGCTTTCTCCCATGGGACAGCTGCAACCTTTCAGTTACCCTGTTTCCCCAAAAGTAAGACACCCCCAGAAAATAAGACCTACTTACAGTTTTGCCCCTCACTGAAATATAAGGCATCCCCCTGAAAATAAGACCTTCCCCAAAATAAGGCCCCCCAAAACTACCATTACCTCTTGGCTCTGGATCATAGTGGCGGGCACCACCATGCAGCTCACTGTTGGCCACAGCACAGCCGGAGCAGACAGGAAGTGCGAGGTCTTTTTTAATAAAACAATAAACAATAAATGTGTACCGTATTATTCTTCATGGAAAAATAAGACATCCCCTGAAAATAAGACCTAGTGCAGCTTTGAGAGCAAAAATTAATATAAGACACTGTCTTACTTTCGGGGAAACAGAAGCCAGTCAAATAACCACCGCTCCACCAGGACACCTCTCCACAAGTTCACAACCCTGAAAACCCTTTAGAGCAGACTTGAAAAACCTCTACTCTACAGACTTGACATCACCATGAATAAGAATCAACTCAAGGACTACCACTACCCACACAAATAGCAACCTCGACATTGTGTCTTGTTCCTGTTACCATGAGCCAGCTGTCTCTACCCCTCTCTCTAAGACAAGGATTTCCTTTCCATGACTCTTCTCCTTAAAATAACCCCTTGTCTCTATGATGATTTCTTGCTGGTGGAAAGATCTTTCCTAGGAAGATACAAACCTTTCTATCAGCACTCTTTAAGAAAATAAACAAAAGAAAGAAACCCCTATTTCAAAGTCCTACTCCAGGTACCATTCTAGATTTCTGTACCTTTTTAAGGTAACACTCCTTAGGGGAGTTGTTCACTGCCTCTAGTCCTGGTGGCATAGTGATTACTCATCGGGCTGCTAACCACAAGGTAAGCAGTTTGAAACCTCCAGTATGACGCTTTCTAATCCTGTGAAGAATGACAAGTCTCGGAAATCCACTGGGTGGCCTGATCTTATCCTGCCCTGCAGAGTCCTGGATCACAGTACAATTCTCTTCAACACATTCCAAGCAGTATTTCCCCTCTACCATCACTAAAGTGGCCTGCTTCGTGTCATTGTTGTTGTCAAGGGCCCTCAAGTCATTCCAACTCATAGCAACCCTTCGTGCAACACGATGAAACACTGCCTGGTCCTGGGCCATCCACACACATGTTCTGAGGTTTGGGCCTATCATTAGAGTCACTGTTTCAACCCATCTCATCTTTTTCCTTCACCCTTTTTTCCTGCCCCTCTACTTTAACAAGCGTGATGTCCTTCTCCAGGGACTGGTCTTTGCTGATAACATGTCCAAAGTACGAAAAGCGAGGTCTCACCATCCTAGCTTCTAAGGAGCCCGATGGCCGTACTTCTTCCCGGACAGCTGTGTTTGTTCTTTGTGCAGTTCACAGTACTTTCAGTCATCTTTGCCAGAATCATCATTCAAATGCACCGGTTCTTCTTTGGGCCTCCTTATTCAGGGTGTAACTTTCATAGTAGGTGATTGAAAATGCCATGACTTGGGTCAGGCGCACTGCGATCCTTGATCTTCATCAGCAAGTGCTTCAAGTCCTCCTCACTGTCAACAAGCAAGGTGGTGTCACCTGCATCCCACAGGTTGTTGATGAGCCTCCCCCTGACCCTGCTGCCCAATTTTTCTTCATATTCTCCAGCTTCTCTGATCATTTGCGCAGCACACAAATTGAATAGGTATGGTGAGATGTATCTATGACACACGTTTCTGATTTTAAACCATGTATTTCTAAACCGTGATTTTAAACCCTGTCCTGTTCTCACAGCTGCCTCTTGACCCCTGCACAGGTTCTGCATGAGGAGAAGGAAGGGTTCTGGAATTCCCATTTTTCTCAAGGCTATCCGTAGTCTGTTCTGATCCACACAGTCAAATGCCTTCACATAAAACGCAAGCAAACATCTTTAGCATTATTGTGCTGCCCAGTGGGTTCCAACTCATAGTAACCATATGAACAACAGAGTTAAACACTGCCTGATCCTGCACCGGCCTGACAATTATTCCTATGCCTGAGTCCATTGATTAAGCACTGCCTCTTACTAAACTTTTCCCATTTGGCTTTTGTGATAGTGCGCTTTGTTTTTACAATACTTCCTGGGTACTTCTGTTCAATGTTTTTGGTTGCCTATAAAATCTCTGAACAATGGAATTCCCTTCTTTCCAAACTTCTATGACTCTTGCCATTTTTATTTGTAGTTCATCCCATAGTTCCCCATTGAGCTACTCAAAACATCTATTGTCCTCTACTAAATTCTGATACAAAGCAACCCTGCAGGTCAAAGTAGAGCCAACCTCTGTAAACTTGGTGGAGGCAAATTGCCATATCTTCTTCCCAAGGAGCTATAGATACCATCCAATTAGAAAAACCGGTGTTCTCTCCCTGGAGGTACTCCACTGCCCGCCTAGCCAAATTTTACCAATCTCATTGAAAGGCATCATCATCTGGTTGTTGTTACTGCTAGGTGCTGTCAAGTCAGTGCAGGTGCATGGTGACCTATCTACAACACAAAGGAACACCGCCTGGCCCTGCACCATCCTCACAGTTGTGGCTCTGAGTCCCTTGTATCTGTTCATCCCATTAAGAGTCCCTCGACTTTACCCAGCTGGATGTCCAGCTCTGAGGATTAGTTCCTCTTGATGATAATATGTCCAAAATATGAGAGAAAACGTCTCACCATCCTCTCTTCTAAGAATCATCTGGCTAGACTTCTTCCAAAGCAGATTTGTTCTTTTAATTACTGTCTTTTACCTTAGCATGATCATTCCTTCCTCCTACCAGAACCCACCACGTGTACGTAATTCCACCCCAGTACTTCTTTCTCATCTCCTTTGATGCGACGTCCCAAGCCAAGCAACCTTTACCACTCATCCTCAGCTCCCTCCCTCCTTTCAGTCTTCCGGTCCTCCTCCCCACACACCACATCCACCATGCCAAAGCAAGATTATCTCTCCGAACTATGAATCACAGCTTGTCATTCTAAGTCTAAAACCCTCCATCCGAATAAAATTTAAATTTTTAAAACAGATGCTAAAATATTATATTTGCTCCTGGTATTGCCAGTCCCCTACACTTCTTCCTCCTTCATTCACTGAACTCTTGCCTCCCTGGTCTCAGACTTTGTTTACCAGACTTACTAAACTGATTTAGGAAGAAGTAATGCTTGACTTCTGCCTTCTACACTTTTCTCCTGTTCCTCGTTGTAATTAGGTCCAAAGTCAATGTCACGCTTACAAAGAGAGCCTCCTTAACCCCTGCTGCTAGGGCCAAAACCTTCCCTTCGCACACTCTTGCAGTATTCTAGTTTATTATTTTCTGAGCTCGTGTACGTATCAAAACTTGCCCGATGAGTGTATGAGTTTTTTAACTGCTTCCCCTGACAGAATGTTAGCCTGTTTGGAGTTGTAATTGATTCCATGGAATCGAGTGTTTGTTTTGTTTTCATTTGTAAGAAAGACTTAAATACAACGGACTCCCCCTCCCTGTTTCTCCTGTGGTGGTTGTTTCTGAGCAGTATAAGATTAAACTTACTCAGTTGCCACCATGTGTTTGTTTACTTGTTTGTGCTTTGACTGAAGTGTGGGAAAAGAATCAATTAGATCAGCTATTTTTCATTTCAGGTCATTGGATTAATGGTAGAAGTTTGAATGTGTGACCCACAGATCAGTAAAATTGGTAAACTGTCCAGGGCAGGTGGGTAATTAGACCTAGGAACTCCTAATTACAGAAGAGGTCAGAACATAATGATAGAAAAATACGACTTAAATCCTACAAGGGTAAAGAACAAGGAGAATAAAGAGAGGTGCCACAGGAAATAGGGGAGTCCACGCAGAAGTGTGAGGGAAAGAAGAGAGAGAAATCTTCTACTGGACTATCTCTGCTTTTCTTGGGTGTTAATGTCATGAAAGTGTATCTCCATAGCTTTATTTCTCAATCGATTTTTCTAACAGAAATGAATTTTTAAAAGACTATTTTAATGGGTTCTGACTCCCTGACACATTAATTTTTCTAAGTTTCTTTAGAAAGCATAGAATTTGTCTTCAGGAACTGTCCAATATGGTGCTTCACCCAATGCTTGAGCTTTAAATTATACATCTTTAAAGCCATTTTGTTAATGCTGAATAATTTATATAAATTATATGTAAACTCTATCATATTAAGAAATGTTAGGTTAATACAATTGAAATAAATTACTACATGTATCAATTACTTACAGTTTTATACATTTTTACGTATCAATAATATATAGTATTGTGTATATTTTGTTAAACACATATGGTTTTATACACCTTACATTTCATTATTAAATCTTTCAAACAAATGGAAGAATGAAAAAAATAGTGCAGTACCCTTATACCTATATTTGCTTCAGAATCTTGTTTTATAAAAGAAACAAAATGTTGCAGATAAAACTTAGGTCCCCTCGTCTTCTCTTCCCGACAACACTGGGCTCTGGATGCCCTAAGTTTTGTAGGCGCAGTTGAGAACAGCAGGTCTCCTGCAGGCACTGTCGTCCCGGAGAGAGAGGCCGGACACTTTGAATAACATATACTCAGTCTTCTCCGAAACTCGCCCGCAAGATGTATCACTTCTGCTTAGCAGGCAGAGATTATGCACAAAGAGCCTAAAAGTGTAACTCTCATTTAGGTCCCTCCAGATGAAAATAAAGGGGAGTATTTTATAATTTACCTCAAACCCACTCAATATATTTGAGATTTCCACCCTTAAGGACTCATATAAGACTCCTTTTATTTCAACTGTTCTGAGAGAGAGATAGAATGAAATCCTATAGTATAAATATTCCCACCATGGCCTCTTTTAGATTACATATCTCTAACTAGCTTGCAGAAGTCCCGAGTGCTTAACAGTGGGCTCCAATAAGCCAATAAAAACCAGATACAGAACATAGCTTTATAAGTATGTCATGTAATATGTATTCTAGTGTATGAAGAAGCTAGAATGTATATTTTATCATTATAATAAAAGTAGTTTGATTGAAAACATTATACAAATGTCTCTACATTACATACTAAAAGGGGTATTCCCAGATCACAGAATACCCCCATTTTCAGCTTAATAGACTGTCCAAACTAGTTTCAATAGCTCCGCCAAATTAATTTTACATTCTAGGAATAGTGTATGAAGGTTCCTACATATTTATACCAAATCCAATAACATCAGGCTTATTAATCATTACCAGATCAATGATGGACATGAGGTGAATCTAATTGAATTTATTTAATATGTTTATTTAGTCTTTACAAAAATATTCAGCAATCTCTTACTATTAGCTCCATCTTAAAAACTGAAAAATGGACACGAGCCTTATCTTAGCATCAACAGGGCAGTGCTTACCTGACATTGCCTGATAAATCATAGACATGCAAATATATTTATGGATTCATAATGAAGGAATGATTTTCATTAATTTCATTGTACAGCAAACTGATGCACTGATAAAAAATCAGGTACTAGGAAAAGAAATAGAGGAAAGAACTAGGAGGCAA